TTTGCATTCATGAGGAAAAAGCTCCGTTGTGGATGTGACAAATGTGAAATTGACACTTGTGTGACTTAGTTTAAAAACATTAACAGAGACTTTTTTGAGCATTTCAACAGTACTGGAAAACAGGGGCTCCCAAACTCAGCTCGCGATTCCCAAAATAACAATGTCAGTGACTCGCGAGCCCCATTTTTCAAGGTGATTATGCTGTAAATATATAAATGTTGCAGACACAACTATAGACATGTCTAAACATGAGCATATTGACAACACAAAATGCAAAAGTCCATTAACCATATCATGTTTTCTACAGTCATTTATTAATTTCATTGCATTTTAATATAAAAATTGAAGGCTGATGTTTATTTGTTTGTTGTTTCTTTAATGCAACGATTAACTCTCTTCTGTGGGTTATGAATAAAATATGGTAATTCTAACAGTTTAATAGAGTTTATTTCAGTTTTACAAATCACCAAGCGACCCGCACTTCGAGAACCACTGCTGTAAAATACAAGCCCACACGATAAAGCTTGCTATTTTGGTGAAAACTTTTTTTTAATAGCAAGTTTGACATTTGCATGGACTTGCTTATAAGTAGTTTTAACAAACAGCAAAAGTATTTTTTGAGAGCGTGCAAACTAAAGTTACAGCTCACCGACTGTGTCTATCTGGCTCTAACGTCAACTCTGGATTGCTTCTGCTTGATTTGCGTTTCTGATGGAATCGGCTGAAGAGAGAGCAGTATTGGGTGAAGTGTGTTATTGGGCTGTTGGGTTCAGACTCCACGGCTCCTGCACTCTTTTGGCTCTCATCCACCTGGCAGCTTTATAAAGGTGCCCTTTTTAGCCCCGCAACGCAAAACCACTAACCGGTGCGTCCCGTCCACTCATTCATCAAACGCATTGCACTCACAACTCCGTCACAGACAGAAAAACAGCATTCACATCCGAATCAATAAACGGCAGCCATTAAATCACATGTCAGCGTGAAGAATACGTCAAAATTATTATTATTATTTAAAATATTTCCCAAATGATGTTGAACAGATTCAGGAATTTCTCACAGTATTTCCTCTAATATTTGTTCTTCTGGAGAAAGTCTTATTTGTTTTATTTCGGCTAGAATAAAAGCAGTTTTAAAGCCATTTTCAGCTCAATATTATTCACCCTTCAGCAATATTAGTGTTGGATTGTCTCCAAAACAAACCACTGTTATACAATGACTTGCCTAATTACCCTAACTTTACCCTAATTACCCTAGTGAAGCCTTTACATGTCACTTTAAGCTGAACACTAGTGTCTTGAAGAATATCTAGCCTAATATTATTTACTGTCATCATGGCAAAGAGAAAATAAATCAGTTATTAGAGATGAGTTATTAACTATTATGATTAGAAATGTGTTGAACAAATCTTCTCTGCATTAAACAGAAATAAAAAACAATATACAGGGGGGGCTAATAATTCAGGAGGGCTAGTAATTCTGACTTCAACTGTATGTTTGCCGAGTCCAGGCGCTCGCTCGGATGAAAACTTGTCTAAACAGGAATGAAATGTGAGGAATTCCTGGTGTTTTGGTATGTCCGATTATAAAGCATTTAACGGCTGTTATGATAAGCCGTGTCATTTCTTTCTTCCATCCGAGTGAATGAACTGGCTTTTGGAAGCTGACCTGAAATGACTCGCAGGGAAAATAAAATATGCTGCTTGTAGTGAAGACTTAGATGAGGACTTTTCTTCTTTTGCTTTATCTCAAGCCTCTTCTGCTGGAAGTCCTGAAATAGACAGGCAATTATAGCACACAAATGTAGGAATAATAAACAAGGGCGCGTTTTAGACTGTATGCTACACATACTACAAAGAAAGTAATAGGGATGTAACGGTATCAGAATTTCACGGTACGATAATACCTCGGTGTGAATGGCACGGTACAATATTTATTGAATAATTTACAGGAAAAACAAAACTAATGAAAAGACTCGAAAAAAGTGGCAAAAGTGTTTATTTACCTTAGCACTGAACATATCAATGACATACAAATTAGCCATCTATCTGTACGTTTCCAAACAGGAACTTCAATTTTAATAACAAAAAACTATTAAACCATGTAAAAAAAAAAAGTTTCAATTTAGTTTTGTTGAAAACTCATCACATTCAACATTTAATCACTCACTCACTCAGATAGAGATGGGTTTTAAGGAAAATGATCATATAACTATAATCTGGTAAAGCTGGGGTCTCTGGGCATGTCCCCTGCAACAGAATAAACCCCTCTCATTTGGGACTGAGGTTTCTGGGACAGAGAGATATGATTTAGCCAAGGTTGACAGCAGTGGGTAACGCTGTGCATTGTCTTTTCACCACTTGAGAGGACAAGCCATGAGTGAGATAGAGGTCTCTTTCAGTACAGGTCAATGTCTGCATCAATCTAACAAGTGTGCTGTGTTCTGCAGTCCCCATGACTGTTATTAGTCGTATTCCCCGACTTATATTTCACCACAGTCTGGCAGTGCCTGCTTACTGTTTTTTTCTTTGTCTGTCATCTTTTCTCCTTTCTCGTATCTTTTTAGAAAGAAACCGAAATGCTTCCACACATCCCATTTAAAACCCGCTTTAGGTTTGATCATTTCCAGCTCTTTTTCTTCCCCGCTACTAGCAGCACACTCCATTTCCGCATTACTGGATCTGTAGTGCCAACAGACCGCAAAGGATGATGGCCACACCTGGGCTGATGGGAATTGTAGTTCTTCCTGTTCGCTTCATTCGCCTGAGCAAACTTTTCTCAGAAATATAGTTTTATTGAGTCATGCGCCTACAGTAATATTGAAAAACATTACTATTGCAGTATGACGGTATTTACAATATTGTTACATCCCTAGAAAGTAATTATCTCTGATCTCTTTAGTTTGGCTTTATTTTTATTGCAGAAAAAACAACAAACATTATTTGTTGTGTTCCTCGTGATTTTTATAATAAAAAAAAAAGGTAGGAACAGCATTTACCACTTTGTAATGTTGGCAATGTGGTCAATCAAGTGGTATTTTCTGGACAAGTAAAAAGTATTGTTTTGTTTTCAGAAATAATGAGTTCAAATTAAGTCGAATTTTACATAAAACAAGCAAAATAACATTTTTTTTAGGTTTGAAAAGAAAAAAATTTTTTTTTACTCTTTTTTGACTTTTTAAAAGAAAAGCCCACTTAATTTTTTGACAGTGTTTCTGGAATCTGTACGTGTCTAAAACTGCTTTTCAATTTGAGAATCTTTAGATATTTAGACAAGATGCAGGACAATGACTTTTAGTAAGAAAAGCATTTTTGCAATGTATCTTGGAGAATAATGAAATGGGCATTACACTTCAATCTCTCACCACAATCTCTCTTAGTGGTTTTGCAACCCAGGCTCATTGTGG